AGGTCCGTCTGGGTAAAGCATCGCGTTCGCTAGGGTATAGACCCAATCGCGTAAGAGGAAAATTGGTCAAAGCTAATTTGTGCTTCGCGAATGCGAGGCTTTGACCGCATTCGCGAAGAAGGAATTTAGGCCTGGGCAAAAGGTTTAAAAGGTCGTCTTGTCCACAAATGTGGGGTTATTTCCTTCCATTGTTGGTCATTTTTGGAGCTTTTTGAAGGAGATTGAAGAGGGATTCAAGGGGAATCACTTGGAGGTAAGATTCTTGGAGTTAAAACTCGATTCTAAGGTGAATTCCACCTAATAATCATGGAAAATAAGCCAAAAATTGAAGAACTAGGGCTTGAAAATTTAGACCTTTGATTGAGGATTTGAAGGACTATTTGAGATCGGATTTCAGAACTTTTGATATATATGAACTCGTGGGGAGATATGGAATCTATTGATGTAAAAAATTTTGAATTCCGAGATGTGGGCCTGGGAGTCGGGTTTTGGTAATTTCAGAATTTGTGTCGTATTTTGATTGTTTTCGCTTGGGATTCGTTCCCTTAGCCTATTTTGACGTCGTCGTTCTGATTTTTGGATAGATTTGACGCGAGTGGAGGATGATTCGAGGGGCAAAGGTATCGTGAGCTAGAGATTTGATCAGTTTGAGGTGAGTAATGATTGTAAATAATGTTCTGAGGGTATGAAACCCCGGACTTGCACATTGTTGTGCTATATTGAGGTGAGGCATACGTTTGATGAAGAGCGTGGGGTTGTGCATTGTTGGGGATTGTGACTTATTCCATCCCGAATGATTATTTTACCACGTATTTAACTGAAATCTATTTGATATCATCATTATTTGGGCTGAATGCCATATTTGGGCCTTGTGCTAACTATTTGAACCCTTCGGGGATTTTTACTGGTATTTCCTCACTATTTTGACTTTATACTTGAACTCAGTCATGTTATATTTCACTGTTTTCGCACTCAGCCATGTTTACTCTATTTTAACACTTAAATGATCTTTTAAATGATATTTTGGGCTGAGAAAAATGTTTTACTACTGCTCGAGTGGCTTGTGAGGATTTTTGACTGAGTAAGGCCGAGGGCTTATGTTGGGAGGAAACAGTTGATATTGATTATGAGTCCGAGGGCCTGAGATATGTACGCCATGAGGTGAATTGATTTATTTGAGGTCGAGGGCCTAGTGATGATGCCACGAGGTGGCTTGATATTGCGCTTGAGCCGTAAGGGGCCCCTCCAGGAGTCTGTACACCCCCAGTGAGCGTGGGTACCCATTGTGATATGAGATTGAGCCCGAGGGGCTGTTATTGTTCTATGTGATTGCCCGAGGGGCTGGTACTATTCTGAGATGTTGCCCGAGGGGCGGTTTTGTTGATATTGTGCCCGAGGGGCGAGCCTTTATGTGTTTACTTTTCACAATTGACTGTCAATTTCCTGCTCAATTATTGAAAAAGGCTTTTCATCAAACTACGTTTGAGTTAAAAAAATTTACCTATCTTTCACTGGTTTACTGTTTTAATTATTTTACTACTTCATTATAGAATGCTTTGTGTCTTACGTGATTTCTTGCTTTCAGTCTTTATTTACATTTGTTACTCACTGAGTTGGAGTACTCAGTTTACTCCATGCACCCCTGTATGCATATTCAGGCGTTGCGGATCCTGCTAGTGCGAGTTGAGAGCTCCCGGCAGATATCGGAGTCCACGAGGTAGCTGCTTGACGTCCGCAGTCCCGTGTTTCTCCTCCTTTATCATTTCTATCTCTTTTCAGACATTTGTACTAGCTTATAGACTTAGCATACTTGTATTATGACTTATAGATGCTCGTGACCCCCCTATATCTGGCTGTGTTGGGTTGTTATTCCGCGTATTTATGATATTATCGGCTACTTTGGATTATTTTATCATGTTTAGATTGTTTCTTAATGCTTAATTGTCAAAAATTGAAAAATGGAAAGTGTCCGCTGGTCTTATCTTCACGAGAGGCGCCATCATGACCGGGTTCGGGTTTGGGGGTCGTGACAAGTTGGTATCAGATAGGTTACATAGGTCTTACGTCATGAGCAGGTTTAGTAGAGTCGCACAGATCGGTACGGAGACATATGTATTTATCCTCGAGAGGTTATAGAACCTTTAAGAAAAGCTTCATATTCTTGAAATTCTTGTCGTGCGAATTTGTTGATCCGAGTACTAAACTTCTGTTATTCTATTCTCTCACAGATGGTGAGAACACGCGCTACCAGTCAGGATGGACGACCACCAGTACCACCAGCCGTGGCCACTAGAGGCTGAGGATGCGGTCATGGTCGTGGTAGGGGCAGAGCAGATAGGGCAGCACCTGCAGATCCACCAGCTGCCCGAGTTCAGGATCAGGTCCTAGTTTTGGGCGCTCCAGCAGCACCAGCTGTGCCCATTGTGATTCTGGGTCTTCAGGAGGCCTTGGCTCAGATCTTATCAGTTTGCACTAGCCTAGCTCAGGCGGTTTCAGCCACTACAGCTGCAGCTACTTCTCAGCCGGGGGAGGTAATCAGACTTCCGCCCCTCGCACACCTGAGCAGGTCGTGCAAGGACTTCAGACGCCGGGGGCACTGATAATAGGTGAATTTAACTATAATTAGGCCCTAAATAACCACCTTCTTGTATAGTTTGGATGATAAAAGTGATAACAAAATGCTCTTATTAGTGTTTTTCATGCTTTGCAGGTTATATATGACCAGAGAAGGCTATAGAGTACTTTTGGGATAAAATATGGAGAAAAAGAGGCCGATCGTAAAATTCCGTCAAGTAAACCACGCGAAACAGCTCAAGCCAGAACTGAAAGAGTACTATCGCGGTTCCACTGCGACCGCGGCAGAACTGCGGTAGAAGACCCCTGCAGACAAAGTGAGAATCAGAGAGCATGTTTGGCCGCGATTTGACCGCGACCGCGGCAGAACCGCGGCGGAGGCGGAAAACTTCAGGGATTAAAGTGCAAAACACGGGATTTTTAGCCCAAAACCATATTTTAAACACTACTCTGCCCAAGAGAAGATGTATTATTTTAGAGAGTATTTTTGGCAAGAAGAACAAGTGTGAGAGATCACCCAAAACATCTTGGTTTCTTCTTCTCTTTATTTTTCTTGCAAGTTTTGTGATGAATATTGTTTTAGTTTGTTTACCCATAGTTATGAGTAGCTAAATCCTTTGTCTAAGGTTTTGATGGAACCGATTGGGGGATGAACTTCTTGTTCATGCGAATACAAATTGCTAGTCTCAATCTTTATTTGTTCAACTTTGTGTATGTTGTAGTTAATTGACAGGATCCTCAATTAGTTGTGCCTATTTAGTGTGCATAACTCGGGAGAGAGTGCATATTTAGGTTATTGTTGAACAACACCACTCCCAAAGTATAAGAGGGATCTATAACTGCGGGTTTAAAGGCGGGATTAGGGATAACGAAGCCTTGAGTGCAATCTAAAGTGAACTGTGTTAATTAAAGCTAGCTAGTGTATCTCGGGAGAGTGCATTGAGTATATTACTGTGATTACTCGGGAGAGATTTACGGTAAGATGAGCGTTCATGATTGATAGAGAGGTGTTGGTCAATTTGTATGAAGCATAAACAGAAGGGATTCCATCAATAGGGGAAGTCATTACCTTAGCGTTTTCTCATTATTGTTTACAACCTTAGCATCCTTAGTTTACATCTGTTTATTTACTTGCAATTTTAGTTATTGAAGACACCATCAACTGTGATTCAAACGTTTGGGGAAATTGGTTCTCAAGAGTTTAGTGGGTCTAATGATAGTGATTGATAGGTTAACTCTCTGTGGATTCGACTCTGGGCAGAATACTCAGGTTATATTTGCAACGTCCGCATTGTCCTTTTTATAAGGCATAGTTGGGCGTGATCAAATTTTGGCGCCTTTGCCGGGGAGTTTACGGAATTATCAATTACCATTGATAGATATACAAAAATTCTTAGTGTAGTCAGTTTTCTCTACACCAAATTTTTGATTGAAATTTTTTATGGTTGTTGACGTGGTTGCACAGGTGTATGCCTAGAAACTCTACGAGGACTGGAGAACTACTTGAAGGACTCTCAGACCCCGAGAAAATATTCCGGGTATTGAACCCGTGCCAACAAAAGACGTCAACAACCTCATCAAACACACCAACTCGAAATTGACATGGGTGACGTAGACAACGTCAACGGAAACGTCAGAAATATGGCACCTCCTGTGCCTGAGGCTGCACTATATGACT